GGGGGGGGGGGGGGATAAACGTCGCGAATGGACGAAGGATGGGAGAAAGGTGGTGGTCATCGCCGAATCGCTCGCGAGTAGTGGTCGTAAGTAGTTCCATCCTCTGCGCGGTGCCTCCGTCGGCTTTTTGGCATCGAGACGACGCGGTTTACGTAGCGCGCGAAATCAGTCTAAACGAGGCCCAAGAGGAATTTTCTGATCGCTGTGCGTTCGCGTTTACCCGCTAAGTACCCACCGACGATGGGCAGTCTTTCACCTGGATGATTAGCGATTCTCGCGAAATCGAGGGGAACAAGTGACGAGTGCCGTGTTGTCGAAATTCGTGAGATCAGTGTTAAACGACGGGAGTCGCCGATGAGGTGCTGCGCGCATTTCTCCCGTGGGAAATTGAATTGACAAATTATCCGCGATTATCATAATCGATTCTCGTGTCACGTGGTGGCGTGGAGTGAATCGGGGGCCACGCGATCGTCCTCGATCCATATCTTTGAAAATTGAAGATTGCGATAGACAAGTTTCTCATATAGCTCTGTTACACGATAATTTACACGATAAGCGTATGAAGGACACACTCAGTTTTACATAATTTACATTTGTTTACGATCCGCCTTATTTAAAATATGGATCTGGGACAGTGTGAAGAAAAGGAAACTCTTTGACTGCGTGAAGTATTATAACGAAAATCGCGCTTGGCAGTTTATTCTCAACATCTCGCGAACGCGAGAGAAAACTTGAAGTATACTTGTCGAGTGTTGTGTTATCTTCCGATTGTTTTTCAGAAAATTATAGCGCGTTCGTGCAAATTCCATATTTCTCAATCCCGTCGCGTTATCTTCCGTTATCTGTTAGAAAATTGCAATCAAAGTACATGCGAGTTCCTCGATAAAAATATGGCACCCAACAAGTCTCTCAGCGATAACAGTGAATCTTTGTTGAAACATCCAATTTCTCACTTCTTAGTATTTATTCTTATCATTTAAATAAGAATTAATTATGGCTATGTGAATATTGATTCTCGCGCTTTTTCCACCTGCTGGAAACGTCGCGAATTTTCGTTTAACTTATCTAAGCGCGCGTGGTTTTAGCCGGCACTTTTCGCAACCGAAAACCAGGTAGCGAGGACTGTCCAGAGTCGGGTCTCTCGCGACTTTGCGACATACGAAATTAGTCGAATTGAATTTTTTCATGTTTTGTCTTCCCGTTGGGTGTCGCAGGCGCAGGTCAGAGGACAACGAAAACATGGGGTGAGTGCGTGCCGGAAAATCCCTCGTAGATTATAAATGCACCGATAAAAATTATTCGTGTAGTAGTAAAAGTTATTCCCGCGTAGACCGTATCTGATATCGTGATATCGATTTGGACGATTTTTAAGCCATATGGCGATTCTTACCGTCGCTCGGCGTACAAGAATATTTGCCGATATATCTATCGCCGTTCGTTCTGTTATACACGAGTGTTGGGCATTACGAACCGTTACAATATCTAATCAAAGTCTTTATCGTTTGTTCGAGGCCGTGACAAAGCGTACACGCTTTTAAATAAACTTTCCGCGCGACTTTAAAACACTCAAGGCGAAATAAAAGATTATCGGACGTCGTTCGGTTTTGAAAATTTCTCAATCCTGATCTTTTAAAGGCACTCATATACATTGGGATCGAATGTATGTGCCTGGTATATTAAATGAATGTTCGAAATATAATTGAAACGGTGCGATATTAATCCCATCAATCGTCGTAAAACAATTTCCTTTTAATTTTTCCTGAAATTAGACTCTTCAGCAGGCAAATGTATCTTCCGGATAAATTCTCAACGCGACTTCAAACGCTACCCAGGCAGAACAGAAAATCGCGATGATGTCGAGATGACATCAACATGACGAGAAAATGACTATAAAAACTGATTTCTCGATCATGATTCGATCATTATCTCGTCATTTTGACGTCATCGTGACTGTCTGTTCCGCTTGGGTACTCGTTAAACGCATTTCTAACAGCATATCAGGATAGCCGGAATAACATGTAAAATATCTCATTATGCTATAAAAATATTAAACTCTATTCGTTATAAAGCGGTACTTTATATGCAATAAAGTTATATACATATATAAGATATATATCTAAACTGTCGCTTTGTAATAAATAGAGTTGCGCAATGCGTAAATAATGACCTTAAGTAAACGCATGACGTATCGTGAAAATACACATTGCGACGTGACAGGGTCGAGTAATTTATCTTGCAACACACACACACACACGGTTTTTGCAGCGTGGAAACAGCTGACACCGGGGGTGGCTTGAGGCCGGAAGTTCGCGGTCGCGGCCGGAAATTGGAGCTCGGAAATATGGAGCGAGGACTGCACGAGCGTGATCGGGTCGGAGTTCAGGACTTCGTTCTTCTGGAGGATTTTCAGAGCGAGTCAGCTTTTATCGACAACTTGCGCAAGCGATTCAACGAGGATCTCATTTACGTGAGTGGAGAGCGTAATTGCAGCATGCACCACTCTGCGGTTGAGAATGGATCGGATTGTTAATCGACGTGAAAATTGCAGACGTACATCGGCCAGGTACTGGTGTCGGTGAATCCGTACAAGAAACTACCTATCTACACTCCGGAAATAATCCAGTACTATCACAGAAGGAACTTTTTCGAGGCGCCTCCTCACATGTGAGCATCTCCTCATCCACACGGTTGTACTCCCGTTTTATGTGATGACTTCCTCAATCTGATGAGATTCTGCAATAGATAACGATTCTTCGAACCGTTGCTACAATTCAGTCTTACAAAACCAGCCTTGTCGTGTGATCCTTTGCTTTCAATCTGTGTTACAAATGTCTCATTGCGAGTGTTCTTGTTTACAGCTTCGCTCTCGCGGACACCGCTTATCAGTCCTTATCTAAGGAGAATCGCGACCAATGTATTCTGATTTCAGGTAAAAGATCAATTTTTTTTTCGTTTATTTCATATTAAGATAAAACGTTAAGTTACGTTACTTTAAATCGCGAGATGTTCCGAATTATCGATTGATCTTTTCTCTCCATTTCTGTCTTAGGCGAATCCGGGTCAGGGAAAACGGAAGCGTCCAAAAAGGTCTTGGAATTTATCGCGGCGGCCACCGGACACAAGAAGCAAGTGGAGGAAGTGAATGACAAATTGATCGGCAGCAATCCCGTGTTGGAGGCATTCGGTAACGCGAAGACCAACCGCAATGACAATTCCTCCCGTTTCGGCAAATACATGGACGTTCAATTCAATTTCCAGGTGAAATTGTTATTTTAAGTTACGACTAAAGTAATAAATTAAATATTCTTCTAAAAAACGAAACTGAAGGAAGAATCGATCAACAAGAAGCGATTTCGTGAAATTAAAAGTTGAATCCATTTGTTATTCGTCTGGAGAATTAAGTAAAAAGCAAGGTAAAAGGTTAAAAGTAGAAAAGTCGTGAAAGTTTTTTTTTTATTCCTATTAAATCATATCTCTACCGATTTCTACCTGTTCGTCCGCATCTTCGGGAGTTTATCGATTTGCTAAACGCTGTGTTACGCCATCAGGTAACGTTGACATTTTCAGGGAGATCCGGTGGGTGGAAATATCCTGAATTACCTGTTGGAAAAGTCCCGAGTAGTTCATCAGTCGGCTGGTGAGCGCAATTTTCATATCTTCTATCAGCTTTTGGGAGGCGCGGACGACGACACGTTGAGAAGATTATTCCTGAAACGAAACCTGGACACTTTCTTCTACCTGAGCAACGGGGTGAGTTCACAATCGGTTTTATTCACGTGACGACTAGTGACAATCTCTTTTCCTCTTAGTATTCATTCATTCTTTATCTCTACATATTTTATAAATTAATCGCCCCGTCAAATCTTCTCGTTTCTCTCTTTTCGATTCTTTTCTCACGCATCTCCTTGTGAATCGATCTCAGACGAAAGGCACAGTAGACACCATCGATGATGCCAATCAGTACAAGGAGGTTATCAAGGCAATGAGAACAATGGAGATGTCTCAGCAAGAACAGGACGATCTCTTTGCCATAGTCGCATCAGTGCTGCATATGGGCAACGTGGGCTTCACGGAGGAGGACGGTGTCGCGACAATCCTGAAACCCGCGTCGGTCGACGCCGTTGCTACAGTAATTACCTTTGAGATCGTTCACTCACCGAATTAGAAGTAAACTGCCAATAAACTGGCAATTCTCATTAAATTGCTTGTTATATATTTACACGAAATCAATTATCGTTTCATTATGAGTATACATTTTTTCTCAGCAAAATTGTTAATGTCGCGGTGCAAAAATTATGCATACAGACAACTAATATATAATTGGATGAAACAGTTATTAGGATGCGATGTAAAGCGACTGGCGAAGGCGTTCACTCATCGTACCATAAATGCTCAGAGCGACGTCGTGGTTTCACCTTTGAATAGAGAATTAGCTATCTATGCACGAGACGCTCTAGCCAAGGCTGTGTATGACAGAATATTCACCTGGCTCGTGACCAGACTCAATAAGTCACTGCAACCTCTTAACAACCCCCAACGTAAAATGGTTATGGGCATTTTAGATATTTACGGCTTCGAGATCTTCCAAAAGAACAGGTAATTGTTAAGTGGAGATTATTTTCAATATTAATATCTTGTTCCTTTAAAAGTAGAATTGTTTTACAAAAATTAATATACGAAAATTTACGACACGTGCAATAGTTTTGACACCAACTTTCTCGATTATCCATCGATGATTCGGTCGTTTTGTTGCACAGCTTTGAGCAATTCTGCATCAATTTCTGCAATGAAAAACTTCAACAGTTGTTCATCCAGCTGACGCTGAAGTCGGAGCAAGAGGAATACCTGCGCGAAGGGATAGCGTGGGAGAATATAAAGTACTTTAACAATAAAGTCATCTGCGACTTGATCGAGGAAAAGTATAAAGGTAAAGTTTCATAGAAATCTTTTAATAAAACTTGAATATATATGTGGTTGTTTTTCCGCAACGATTATGTCATTAATTAATTCACTGATGACAGGAATGATATCATTGTTGGACGAGGAGTGTCTGCGACCTGGTGAGCCGACCGACCTGAGCTTTCTGGAGAAATTAAATGTACATCTGAGCAATCATCCTCATTACATCAGTCATCAGAAAGCGGACATACAAACGCAGAAAATTATGGGCCGAGACGTGAGTCTTCTATATTAATTACTTGTGCGAATGTTTATTCGTTTACCATTATGTGAATTTTATTCGCTCGCCGCTAATGTTTTAGGAATTTAGATTAATACATTACGCCGGTGACGTGACTTATAACGTACGTGGATTTCTCGAAAAGAATAATGACCTACTGTTTCGGGATTTACGCGAAGTTATGTCGCATACGACGAATTCCATCACAAAGGTAAAATAAAATTGGCTTTGTATTTTATTTTGAGAACGGGAAAAATCCAAAGGGAATTCTAATTCTCCTTTTATTTCTAACTTTTGATTCCCTTTTATTTTGAATGTTCACATCTTTTATTCGTGCATAATCCTGGCTGTTTCATTCATTACTTGTAGAATGTGTTCGACGTGAAAGATTTAACCAGCAAGAAACGCCCAGAGACTGCAGTGACACAATTCAAAAATAGCTTGAACAATTTGGTCGAGATCCTCATGGGCAAAGAACCGTCTTACATTCGTTGCATCAAACCCAACGACTTTAAGATGCCCCGTAAGTAAAGCCAATTAAAGGCAAATCTGAAAGAAAGACAATTGAAGTAAAAATTCAGCGCACATTTCATTGAAAGATATATAAAGATATATCAGGGATAACGTATAATGATGTAATCAAACCGAAATGTCAAGGAGATAGCAATTTAATTATTTTTAAATTAAGTTACTTTCTATGACCATTTTCTAAGAAAATAATAGAATAAGGCTTCGATATGATATGACAATTATGTAGTACAAAGAAAAAGAATTCATTGAATCTGCATTTACAGATCAATTCAATGAGAAGATCGTTCTGCATCAGGTCAAATATCTAGGCTTGATGGAAAATCTGCGAGTTAGACGCGCTGGTTTCGCGTATAGAAGACCGTATGAACAATTCCTGCAGCGTTACAAGTGCCTCTCCTCGGAAACATGGCCGAATTATCATGGGCCGGCAAAGCAAGGCGTACAGATGCTTGTACGTCATCTTGGCTACGAGGAAGACGAGTATAGGATGGGCAAGTAAGTTCCCAGGTTTCATACCGAGCATGTTATCCGTATTTCCACAAAAAAATAAAAACTATATAAAATATACAGAATAAAATATAAATGTTCTTCTTTACGTATATACTGCCGTTAATTATTCCTCTTAATTATTTCAGCACGAAATTGTTTATCCGATTCCCTAAGACGTTATTCAACACAGAAGATGCGTTCCAAATGAAGAAGCACGAAATAGCTGCCATCATTCAGAGCAAGTGGAAGTGTATATTAGCACGAAGGAGATATTTGAAGATGCGGGAGGCGGCAATTGTCTTCCAGAAATACATTCGCAGATGGCACGCAAAACGCACAGCAAAAAAACGGCGAGACGCGGTTGTCACTATCCGCAGGTATCATAAATATCTGCCTTTCGCTAAGTTTACTTTTTGTGTTTTCCACTGAGACCGTGTTTACTTGATATTTTGTATCAATTGTCCTTATTTTCTATATTTTATTCTTTCCCTCGTCACATATTTTATCATTAAAATTTTAGATCTTAAATTTAAATTTAAATATAGATAATTTACAGTCACAATAAGCTACATCTTATAATTATATATCTTGTAAAAATATATGAATATATATGCTAATTCGATTTTGTGTAGATTTATCCAAGGATTCATTACTCGAGACGGGCCTCCTACCAAGATCAATATAGCCTTCATCGAATTGGCAAAATCGCAATGGCTCATTAGACTCTCTAAAGCATTGCCACCGGGTGTCTTGAACAACTACTGGCCACTATGTCCATATTCCTGCCGAGAGGTACGAATAACACGCACTTATTTACAGTTTCAGCAAGGTCAAAATACCATTACTTGTAACTATAAACTTGAATCATTAAAAGTTAAACAATTAAATTTATATTAAATACACCTATGATTGTAGGCGTCTGAACATCTGCGCGTAATGCACAAGAGGTGGAAGGGCCGTTGTTATCGACTGGCGTTGAGTAAGGAGGATAAGATGCACTTCGAATTGAAGATCCTCGCGGAATCATTATTCAAAGGCAAGAAGAAATCTTACGCAAAGAGCTTAGGCCCGAGATTCGAGTCCGATCGTCTCGGCGAGGAGCATAAAGCTCTGCGACAGAGCCTCACCACTAATATTTTAACTTTGGAGGAAAGTATAAAGGTAAATGTAATTTTTTTCTGTAAAAAGAAAACTATCAGTGTTTGTAAATGAATTTTTTTAATATACCGTTAATAATATTTTCAGTACGCCACTCCTGTTATCAAGTATGATCGGCACGGTTATAAGCCGCGCGAGAGAGTACTTATTCTAACACAGAACGCCGTGTACATCCTTGATACGCTTAAAACGTTCAAACTTAAGCATCGTCTGCCTTACAAAGCTATCGAGGAGCTGGTCGTCACTGGGGAATCCGACAATTTACTCATCGTCAGGATACCACCCGAATTAAAAAAGGACAAGGTATTCTTTGAAACGTGTTAATGAATTATAAGAGTAGTTGTTGTAAAATAAGTGAATTGCAGAATCCTTGTGCATCTTTTCTAAAATTATAACCGAAGAAAGCATCCATCTTTCGATTACTCACAATTATTGGGGGTGATGTAAGTTCTGTGTTTGTGTGCAGGGCGATTTAATCTTGGAAGTTCCGCACATCATAGAAGCTTTAACGAAGGCAATCGATATTACCAGCAATCCGAATATTCTCAAAATCGTCAATACCGAATCGTAAGTACAAACAACCTGTACAATTCATTTTAACATTTTCAATGATTTTGCCAAAATCTTCGTAGCAAATGTCATATGATGGAGACAATTGAAAGTGTTAAATTACTATTCTGCTACATGATTATTATTAACCTTATATTGGAAAATATTCATATTTTAGTGTATCCCACAAGCTAGTCAGTGGTAAAGAGGGAGTCATCGAGTTCAAAACCGGCACAACCCCGGCGATCAGTAAGAATCGACAGAGCGGACACTTATTAGTGGTAAAAATCTAACATTAAAAACTAATTTCTTCCCGATACTTTCTCCTTTTCTTCATTTTTCGCGATAGAATACACTATTACGATAGAATTTTGAAATGTTGGACACGAATACAACAATGGTATCGGAAAGATTAATACCATGTTATCACTATAGATATATTCTCACTCTTTTACTCCATTTTAGGTCGCTTCTCCGTAATACCACAGAAGATCTTTCAAGGGAGCAAGAAACTGTGCGAAATGAGCAATTGAAGCAAGTGCTATGACGCCTAGAGCAGCCTTAATCCAATGTGATTTAGTACAGAAGCGACAGAGTTTAAGAAGAGATAATATATAAAACTTTAATACATATGTTAAACTACCACGTCAGTTTGATACTTTATTAAATAATAGTTGATTGTTTAACTAATTTAATTCGTGAAATAAGTGGGTCTGGTCGTTTCAGTCGTGTTATCTCACTCTTTTTCCCTACATTTGACGAAATTTAATTAATTTATTCGGAAAGGAAAGAAAACGTGAGAAAAACAAAAAAGCAAACGATAAAGGCTGTGTTCCAACATCCATTGTTAGTACTAAAGTTTATAGTTCATGTTACGTACACAATAAATTTTCAGTACTGGCGGTGAATATCGGAATGCAATTGCAGAAAGCGAAAGAAGAAATATAGACCGAAACAAGCAGACCTAGTGTTCGTAATAACGAATAGATTGAACAAATGTGCCTTGAACTCTCTACTGCCTGAGCTATTTATTAAAGGTTTAGGATCATTCATTTTTTTTTCTTCATTTTTATCTTTCGTTACTTCTAACTTTAAGGGGGTCATCCCGTGTGACGGCTTCAAAAAATCGATTTTTTTTTTGCATAAATCTAATCTAGAGCTATTTCTAACGCGTTTTTCTCAAAACTGGATTTTTTAAACTGGTGCAACTGGTGCCCATGATTTTTCGAAAACGGTTCAATGGATTTAAATAAAATTTTAATGGTAGATTCAGCACATGTGTGGCTATCGTGGGAACTAGGATTTTTTTTGAAAATATTAAAAATTCAATTTTTCGCATGCTTTTAAAAATTATAACTCAAAATAGAATGATTTTTTCCGACTATTTTTTATGCGGACAGAAAACGGTTCAATATTTTTTTTAAATTCTAGTTCCCACGATAGCCACACATGTGCTGAATCTTCCATTAAAATTTTATTTAAATCCATTGAACCGTTTTCGAAAAATGGGCACCAGTTAAAAAAATCCTTTGCCAAAATTACTTTGCCAGTATATTCTATGCATGCTCTAGATTAGATTTATGCAAAAAAAAATCGATTTTTTGAAGCCGTCACACGGGATGACCTCCTTAAGGTTTCGATTATCGATTATCCTTTCAACTTTTACATTTAAAGATGTTTTAACTTATATGTATATAAAAATGTGAAATAAGATAAATCTACTATAAACTGTACTGGGCAGTAGAGGGTAGAAAGATTTCGTATCATCTTTGCAGCGTGTAAGATTATAACAAAGTTTTAGAAAGAAACAAAAGTGCCATAGGGCCTCCTGTACAATATTATTCGTGTGAAACATCGGTAGGCTGTAAAGTAGGTGACAACTGATTGATATTTATTCTAATAGAGGATAAAAGTTGAAGGAGTTTACTTGTGAATAAGTTATATGCATTATTCAAATATGACCTAAATTTTAGATAACACGAGCACAATAAATGCAGAAGCAAATCTCTCAATTGCCTCTTCCTTTTCCAAATAGGTTAATATATTATATTTTCAACTGTATACAACATATATTTCTAAATATTCTTAACTAGTACATTAAACAAGTTATGTCTAGTACATTAAACAAGTTATGTCAATAACTTTATGTATTAGAACAACAGTTTTTTTAAATTAATATGTACAACTATTTTTTTTGTATTTTGGAAGGATCTTTCTTTGTGAGAGATTTTTTTCCCTCCAAAGCTCTTTCTCGCAACTCATCTTCCATATCATTATTCACTGCCTTTGTAATCATTTTCTTCAATTTTGCTGTTTCCTGTAATTTTGCTTTCTTCGGTTGCACAGGTGCATCTATAAGCAAGAAAGAACATATTTTATTAGTCCTGATATTGGCATAATGCTTAAAAATTAATTTTGATGGTTTATTATATTCACTTACTTCCACGTCTCTGAATAGCAGGGCCTTTCTTGCCTTTCTTGGCCTTTGCTTTCACCTTCTCTGGTAATTTTGTTTTAACTTTGAGCTTTCCTTGTGCCATTTCTTATATTTAAACGCTATGTTCTATATAAGCTTTGATATTTTCACTCGACAAATATTTTTTGTATTCTAAAAAGGAAATAATTATAAGTACAAGATCAGTCTATATAACATGCATTAATAATTTAATGAATTATAATATTTATTTTAACAGGAGTATAACGTGTCAGAATTGTATAAATCTTGCCATGATGTATGATAATTACTTAGAAAGTATATATAATTGTAATTACAGTTTAATACTAAAAAATTACAATATTATATACTTTATATTACGTTACAATTTGCGATATTTATAATTGTACATCAAGTTAGCATTGTAAGTCTATAAATTTATAGGTTATAACGTTAGCATTTATCACTGTTCTTCGAACTGTTGCATGCTGTTATGCATGTATTATAGATTTCTTATCTTATAGCTATCACATATTGTAATAACTTTTATCACTGTCTGAAAAGAACTGTTTCTTCTGAAGATACCAAATATCAAAAAAACCCAACATCCATCCACGTGACACTTGAAGTAATCATAGAAACGAACAGACGCATTGAGCAGTATTGACCGTAGTCTTTGACAAAGAAAAACTTCGAGCTCAAGCAACATTTATTACATACACAAAAAGAGAAAAAAAACGACCGATATATTTGATTGTTCAAAATTATTATTGTGTAAATTCTATAAATATTTTTACAATACCAAACGTCCGATATTTGCTCTCGTAGGACGAGTTCCACTCAATGCTGGCAACAACGTGAATGTCACTCTATCTTTATTTAATATCCAGCGAGAAACAAAGATAGAATGACGTTCGCATCGTCGCGAGCGTTAAGTGGAACCTATCTGTTAAAGTAAATCGTGCATACGTATCTAACCACAAAACTTACGTTATTCGAACTTTGTTCTTAAAGCCATTTACGTAACTGTTATCGTACTTTTGCATATCATTGTTGAAGCCATTTCTAGGTAATTGTGAAGAGAGGATTTTGGAAAAGTCACGATTTGGGAAAATGGCACTTTCTAAACCGACTGATTTCATATACAGATTCGTTGGCGCATATTTAGAACGACTCTACAGTAATCCGTTGAGAACGAAGGCTGTAACGAGGTAACATCGATGTGACACAATTTATACATGCATATGTGAATTATCAAGTAGAGTTGAATTAAACGCAAAGTATATTGTTTCTAGTTGCATCCTTGCCTCCCTTGCAAACGTATTGTCCCAGAAATTGTCGGGTGCGAAGCAGATTAATAAAGACAACGTCATTGCCTTTGCTCTGTTTGGGTAAATAAATACAGACTTATTCCTGCTAACAATGTGAACTTGAAGAACTTAAGTGGATTTCTAATGCACAAATATTGTTGCAGCTTATTCATTGGTGGACCAGTGCCACATTACTTTTACACGTACATAAACTTGTTTGTAAAGAATCCTTTGGGGCTTTTTCTGGTAGAGAGGTTCATTTTTATGCCATGTTTCCAGGCTCTGGCACTTTACACCTTGGCTCTCTTTGAGGTACATAGCTATTTTTATTATTTAGTTATAAAGCATATAAAAAATTATTTTTATATACATACATATTGACTAAAGAGAAATAGTTATGTTCTCAGAAGTTATATAATATTTTTTATGGATTGGTAATAACGGATTGATGAATCATATATATAATGTCTTTTATTTAAGTTATAGCTTGATCTGTTTCGTTCTTTAGTAATATCATTCATCGTCAAGTCAGAAAGATGTGATGATATGTCTCTTATTATTAGATACAAGTTTATCTAATCTACTTGATCATGCTACTGGAAAATAAACGAAATTTGCCTAATTCATCATCAAATCATAATCACTTAAAGATAAAAGTTCTTCTATGACTTGTCGTTCAATTATACTTGAGAATAAGAAAGTTTTCAATTGTCACGATTCAACTGTATGCCAGATAGATTTTCAAGTAGTACAACCATATGTTTGCATTTTATAGTCAGATACTGAAACAGAAATTGATTTACAGGGTAAGTCACATAAAGAAGCATGCAAACAGATGGAAAGGATGTATTTGCCGACGGTGATGAGTAATCTGAGATATCTGACACTGTTGCAGTTCCTCAACATAAGATATATTTCGCCGATGGTAATATAACAAATTTATATTCTGAATATTTGCACATTAATCTCTAGATTTTTGCTAAATTTTGTTTGAGATAATTTCAGATTATAGATTGCTATTTACATTCGAAATTTTTCTTCGTTGAAAATTATTTTTTTATTACTTATAGAGAATTATTCGCTACAAAGATCTTGTTTGTAACGTTCGATTTTTTAATCTTTCAGCTGAGAGTCTTGGTAGCGAACTGCATCGCTTTTCTATGGTCCATCTATCTTGCAAACAAGAGGAACAAAATTTCAAAGGGGAAAGCTTAAGAAGATCTACTTTGTTATGCGATTTATAATTGTTATTATAAATATTTTATATGGTAAATGTATATCTCTGTAACAATGTACAGAAGCACAGCGACGCTTTCACGTGTTGAATATGAAAATACGGTTTCTGATCACTCCAGAAAGATATTCCGCAATGAATATATAGAGAAAGTATTCGTTCTATTTTTACGAAGCGAGACAAAACGATACATTCCGTCGTTATAATTTGTTAATATATTTTGCAAAATCTATAATATAAAATGTACAGGATATCACACGGGTTTATAAACGGTATATGTATATATATATATATTGAAGTTTTATATATATAAAATTGATATATCTGTAATTAATATGACATTGGGATAGGAATACAAAGGTTTACAAATAAATATTGTATTCGATGATTTTACGGTCCTCTTCGTCATCTCAAGATGTGGAATGAATGATTTTCAAGAGTCGAGGCGATTTTTGAGACTTTCGATTTAATCACACAACAACAATACAGAGTATATTACAGATATAATTCGAATTTCTTCTTTCGCTTTAACGAGACAGTAACATTCGTACGGCTGTAACTCATAAGTGGATACATAAGTAGATACCAGGGCTTGAGAGCCACGATGGCTCCTCTCAATGAGACAAAGAGATCGGAGAGAGAGGATGGAATTGCCAAAGAGACGTTTGTTATTCCGTGACTCTCGTTGTATATTCCGGGGGCCGGAAAACCGTAAAATATATTTGAATAAAAGACCGCCTTAATATATCGGGTTAAAAAGGGGTACTTAATACATAACTAAGAGAGCATCTTGCGTTAAAAAGGGAATCAGTCGTTGAGAAGAGCTAGATCGCTACGTATTTTCCTTGTCTAGTCTGTCGTAAACAATGTAGACTTTCCAAGTTTTACGGTTTCGCCTTTAACCCTATACATATATATATATATATATATATATATATCTCCGAGATATCTTAACTTCGCGCGATTGCGCCATTAGACTAGTTTCTAATTGTATCTTTTTCTTTGGTACGCTGCCTGGGCCCGGTGCCATCTGTCTCGGGCCCGCGAGAGAAACCTTTCCCCTGACTAGAGTATTTCTTTTCCTCGGATTGCGAATATATCAAAATGCATGAATGAATCGCGATATCACTTCGTTCGTTAAAACTAAGGCGGTTTTACAAAATAAATAAATAAATATCTACAAATAAATAAATGTGTACAAATATAGGTATAAATCAATAATTAAGTTACGTTCTAGGTATCAACCCTTTGCGTTCTACCATTTAATAACTTGTCTTTGGATTCCTGTTTTCGTAACTTTTACAAATCAGAATAAAATTCGCGAATAAGAAATATATAGATAAGTATAAATATATCATTTTATATAATATAAACTTTATATTATATATATATATATATATATAATTATCGCGCCATTAGACTAGTTTCTAATTGTATCTTTTTCTTTGGTACGCTGCCTGGGCCTGGTGCCATCTGTCTCGGGCCCGCGAGAGAAACCTTTCCCCTGACTAGAGTATTTCTTTTCCTCGGATTGCGAATATATCAAAATGCATGAATGAATCGCGATATCACTTCGTTCGTTAAAACTAAGGCGGTTTTACAAAATAAATAAATAAATATCTACAAATAAATAAATGTGTACAAATATAGGTATAAATCAATAATTAAGTTACGTTCTAGTAATAATAATAATAATAAATTCTGTAGCTCGGCACTACGCAAAGGGTTGAAAAATCAATGTTTCGCTTCAGAAAATTCAGAATTTTCTGAGGGAATGCGTCTATGTACAAAAAAGAACGAGTCAAGATACATTGCACTGAAAAGTTATGGATATACTNGTATCAACCCTTTGCGTTCTACCATTTAATAACTTGTCTTTGGATTCCTGTTTTCGTAACTTTTACAAATCAGAATAAAATTCGCGAATAAGAAATATATAGATAAGTATAAATATATCATTTTATATAATATAAACTTTATATTATATATATATATATATATATAATTATCGCGCCATTAGACTAGTTTCTAATTGTATCTTTTTCTTTGGTACGCTGCCTGGGCCTGGTGCCATCTGTCTCGGGCCCGCGAGAGAAACCTTTCCCCTGACTAGAGTATTTCTTTTCCTCGGATTGCGAATATATCAAAATGCATGAATGAATCGCGATATCACTTCGTTCGTTAAAACTAAGGCGGTTTTACAAAATAAATAAATAAATATCTACAAATAAATAAATGTGTACAAATATAGGTATAAATCAATAATTAAGTTACGTTCTAGTAATAATAATAATAATAAATTCTGTAGCTCGGCACTACGCAAAGGGTTGAAAAATCAATGTTTCGCTTCAGAAAATTCAGAATTTTCTGAGGGAATGCGTCTATGTACAAAAAAGAACGAGTCAAGATACATTGCACTGAAAAGTTATGGATATACTATTCAATCCGTGAGATTCGTTGACGAGTTCCAAGTTCGACCAGTTCAAAGAATGTCGTTTTGTTATAAATAATGAAAGATGTGACTATGACTAGCGTGCTTCTTTTCACGACGGATAATCGAGAACCTGAGTTCCAGGGTATTTCGAAGCAATATGTGTAAATCAACCTTCTTGTGACTGAGCAAAGTCACAATCCAACTTTATTCTCAGAAATTTCATATATTAAAAATAATAGATCGTACGTTCGTTAAAAAAAAAAAAAGAACTACTTCATGCCATGCCATGTCTATCTCTTTATATTGATATGTTTGAACTTTTGCTTCTTTGATTGTTTTAAGGCCATCTGATCATTCGGAAATCTTAATCTCGGTCACAGGAGGGTTGAGAGCGTCTCGATTCTGAGCTATCTCACGCTGTATTTATATCTTACTATATTTTATACCTGGAAAATATCCCCTCCCATATAATAGAAAAAAGAAAAAGCAAAAGAGAAAATGGAAAGCAAGTTGGCGATACTCGATTTTTTTCTTTTTCGCATGACAATTTATGATCTTAAAGCTCCTCGAAGCAAATTCTATTCTTCAAGTTTTTAATTTTTCTCGAATATGTATTGAAAAATTTTCGTGTCTTAGAATGATGTGAAAGCCAGGCTCTCGATCGTGCAAAGAAGCAATACGACTTAACGAAACGATATCGATATGGATTATAACAGAATATTGCGATAGCGAGTGACTGACGAGAGAAGAATGTCTAAATAGATTCTTCTTTTCTCTCTTATTGCTTACATTTGCACAAGTTAGCGAAGTACTATCAATAATTTAAAAACAACCTAACGGAAATTCTGTGAAATTTCACAGATAGATGCGATTTTTTTTAGAAAAATCTCGCTTCTACACGCAGAGAGAGAGAGAGAGAGAAAGAGAGAGAGAGAGAGAGAGAGGGGAAGAATATCTATTAAAAAATCATTTTGCACAATGCTTTTTTTAAGTCTTTAACGATGCTCTGAATGAGATGAAAACTTCTTCGCAAGAAGTCGTAGAGGAATTAGACGAAATGTTACTGTACCATTTTATGAATCTATAGTTCGAGTGAAGAGAGAAAGAGAGGGAGAGAGAGTATGATACATTAAAATCTACATAAATATATTCAATTTTCTCTTCGCTTCGATACGCTCTTTGGTATCTCAGACGAGGTAACACGATTCATAAGGTCGCAAAATTGCACCGCGCTCGAACGAGAATTCTGAAGTAAATCATCAGATCGGTCGATCGAGATTCTCTTGACAAGATCGTTGAAACGTGATCGTTCTTTCATTATTATCCGTGTTAAACACATCGCAGTTTTACCAATATATTATTATTTGATATCGCGTTGCGTTCGAGAAAATAAGAACGTAAGGAGCATCGAGCTTACGCTCTGAGCTTGAAATGGCGTTTCTGCTCATTTAAATAATTAAACAAACGTGTGTGTGTAAGCGTATGTGTATGAAGAAAGGAACGTTGAATCATTCCTAGACACCTCCTAGAATACAGGACATGTCTCTCTCTTTCTCTCTCTCCCGTTCTCAGCGCGTGTAAGACGGACTCCGGCTTGGGGAGCAGCTGGACCGGTGACTCAGGCTCGACCAGTTGCTGTGTCTGCTGCTCTCAGAGCTGCTCGGCGACGAGGGTGGCGTCGGAGTTGGTCGGTGATACGGGATCGGGCGTTTCCTCGCGCTAAAACCAATGTTCCTTGATATCGTTTTTTTTTTTTATACAAAATATGGAAGAGTCAAAGTTTCACCGACAGATTTGGAATGATCAGATAGTACTACGTTATGAGGTAAATTACATATTATGTTATGAAGTCATTTATGATAGTAGTTGTGAAGCAAAGTTGATCAATATGGATAATGATCAATTTACACGATATCTGAAATCCACTAAGATAAGGATAATCAAGTACATTGTATTGTGAACAGTCGGTGTTCGAGAATACATAACGGGCGGAATAAAAAAGCAAAATGTAATGCAGGCGGCGAAATGAAAATAAATGGAAACAAGCTTGCGAGAAAGGCACGAGCGTGCAAAATAAAGATGTGACGACTCACCTGTCTCTGAAGATACTTTTTTTCTGAAGAATGCAGTGCCGCAAAGAGACACTCACAAATTTCGCGAAAACATCGAACTGAGGGAACTAACTAACGAACTAAAAAAGAAAAAAAAAACAGAGAACAAATGGAAAAAGAGAAGAAGTACGCTTACTGGGTAAATTTTTTATTCTGCGATCGACTATAATAAAATAAAAGTAATATCCTACGGTGAACGTTTAATTTACAATATTTATAAGGAGAACATACACGCATGCTATACGTCTACACGAAAATCGTAAGCTACGAGCTTCGTTAAACGATTGGTCAATCATTCGATTATGATCGATTGAGGAAGAAACGGGGAGAAAGGAAATAAGAAGATAAAGAGAAGAGGATGAAAGACAGAGAGTAAAGGGAGCAAAATCGGTAAAAGTAAAAAAAGGAAAAAAAAATGGAAATTAAAATAACCGAGCCGAAAAATCAGCACTAAGTCGTTCTATGTAAGGAAAAACTGTGAATATATAGATACGATTGCAAATAGTTCCAATAATATTTGGTCGCAGTTTACATTGAACTCTCTTATCGATACTATTCTGCTATTACATCCGTTATGGTCGATTGAATTCGCTAGCTCGATTACATATATATATGTCTGTCGATGATTATATAATTATTCTTCGTATACCGTCTGCGTCATCGAAATCCGTTCAATTGCGAACGTAGTCTGCAAAGGTTTTGCAGAAGAAACTCTATAGATATGTTTTGAATGTATACATATAATCGTAACTCCATATTATATGCATACACACGTGTAATGTATATGTATATATATATANACTCTATCTATCTTCTATGCCTGTTCCTCGATCTGTCCCTGTAGGACACAACAAACAAAGAAAATTAGCACATCGCAGCTAGTGCCCGTCGTAATTGCACTCGAGCGAAATTATATGTGTCGCGTGTTCCGTCGACAGAGTCTCTTTCTCTCTCAAACGTTTTTCTCTCGAGCGATTTCTCGACGGTTCCTCTTTTTGGACAATTTTTGACACATTTCGAACGAGCTTCTCCTAACGACTTTGTGTAAATGTTCACGATTGTTCGATCAGAGTTATAGTAACAAAAAAAAAATATATATATATATATATATAGAAACGTAAAACACAAAAGAGATGTAACTGATAAGAGTCGCAAATTAAAGTCTACGATTACGGTGGACTCGCGACACTTCAGCGTATAGTGCGTGATAAATAATACGTTGTATGTACTATAGGGCGATGACGTGACACACGTATGCGCGTTCACGACACCTACCTCGTGATACGCCGTCTGTCGAGGAAGCTGGGCGAACCGTGACGACGCGGTATTGACGGCGAACGTGATCTGCTGCTGGCGGAGCTGCTGGAAGTCGAGCGGGAGGATCTGCTGGAGACGCTGCTCGACGACCTTGACGAGCTGGAGAAGCTCCTGCGACTGTGTCTCGAGCTGGCGATAAGAGAAGAACAGGCCTTTACATATTATTTTATCATTATTTAATAATATAATATAATAAATAAATAAATATATATATATTTTTAATATTATTTAATAATTATTAAATGTTATGTACTATAGTCAACATTATAAAAATATTTTGCAATACATAATTTCGTACGATATAGAGCAGATTCTATTATTACACAGATCTTGTATTATTTAGTATTTAATGTATCGTTTATATATTTATGTTGTTTATTTATTTATTCATTAATGGGATGACCCGTTTTTGCACGAATTAAAGAAAAGAAACTGAAAAGGTTCGCAAACCGAATGCAGGAAAATATCATTTAGAAAGAAATTATTTATATCTTCCATATATTATATTATTTCACCATTGATTTGAACAATTTTATCAAACAGTGCAACTTGAAAAATTACAACAATAAATCTTGAAAAATGATCAATCTTTTTATATAGCCGCTAAAACTCACCTGGCGGAGGAACGCGAGCTGCTCCTGCTGCGACTACGCTTGTCCTTCTCCCTAGAGGCTCTCGACGGCGATCTCGAGCGGCTCTTGGACTTCTTCGACAAAGAACGGCTGCGCGACTTCTTGGACAGTGACCTGCTCCGGGACTTCTTCGACACGGAGCAGCTGCGCGAGCGTCGCTTCGACGGTGACCTGTGTCGGCTGTCGGCGCGGAATTTGGCGGTCGGCGAACGCGAGGCGGACTTCTTGGCGCATGTGGGCGAAGGTGAGCGTGACTCGGTGGAGCGTTTCGACTCCGAGGAAGATCTCGATCGAGACGAGCGTTTCGTCCGTGTCTTCGGCGACAGCTTCTTCGTCCGTGACGCCGACCTGGACGACCGTCGTCTTATCGGCGTCGGCGATTTCTTGCCGCGCGAGCGGGACCGCGACTTCTTGTCCCGCGGTGACGGCGACCTGGAAGACCTCTTGCCTATCGACGGTGACCTCGTGCACGACCTCGACGCCGATCTGGAGTACGACACGTTCTCTCTATTGGCGGATCGCGAGCGCCGATTCGATCTTGCGAGCGAAGTGCTCGGCGGCAACGGCGGCGGCGACTCGCTGGGCGAACGCAGTTTCATCGTCGCTTCGTCGCGCGAAGTGCTCGTCACCTGGGCCAACATCATCATCGTCGTCGTCGTGGGTGAGCGAGAGGAGGAGGACTGCTCGCCGGCCTTCGCTGACGGGTCTTTCCTCGACGCGACAGGCGAGTCCTTCTTACCTCCGTTGCTCGGAGGCGATCTCGACGGTCGACGATTCATCTTCATCGTCACCGGCGACACGTTGACCTTGTCGAAGGCTTGCTGGCTGGGCGCCGGCAACATCGGCGGCGACTCGCTCGGCGACCTAATCTTGATCGCCGCTTCCTCCCGGGTGAGGGGCAACGCCGGTGACGGGGATCTGCTGGAGACCGGAGACCGCGCCACCGTCTGCAGAGACGGGATCATCATTTGGTGTTCTCGCGACTCGGACCGGTCACGAACGACGGACGACGCGGCGTTCATTACGCTCAACGGCGTGGCTACAATGCCGGCCTTCGGCGGCTCGTTCGGCAATGCGATGTCCAACACGCTGTTGTCCTCCCTTCTTTCCATCTTGATCTTCGCCGGAGTGACCACCGACTTCTTCTCCAGCGCCTCGCGCGCCTTAGCCGCCAGGCCGCTCTGCAGGCGCTTCAACGTGTTCAGCTCCATCATCCGCTCCTCGTCCTCTTGCTGTTGCTGCTTGGACTCGTCGTCCGCCAGATCGGCCTCGTCTTCGCTGGACGATCTCAAGCTCACCCTAGGCGCGACCACCTGTGCGCCGCGTCTGTTCGACCTCGACGTGGAGCGTGACTTCGCCCGGCCGCTCGTCCTCCTCCTGCTCTTGCGATCCCGCCGCTTCTGTTCCTCCAGGATGTCCTTGTAACGCTCCGGGTTCTTTCTCACGGGTGAGTAGCTGAGTGTGGACCTCGAGCGCGCTCGCCGCTGGCCCCGTCGGGCCGGCGAGCGCGATCTGCCGCGCGACTGAGACCTCCTGCGTCTCGACGAGGGCGACGGTCTCCTCCGGGAGGATCCCGCGTAACGATCGTATCTGGACCGGCTCCTGCTCCTGGACGCTGCGACGGAGTGTCTGCCGCGCCTGCGACCGCCGCCAGGCGACCTGGACGAGTATCGCCTTCGCCGGGGAGACGGACTGACGCGTCGTGATCTCGAGTATCGTCGGGGAGATCTTCCCCCACCTCCGGCGCCTCGGCCCCTGGACGACGATCGGTGCCGGCGTGGTGGACTTTTGTGGCCCGACGGCGGCGACTTGTCCGCCCGCCGCCCCTCCGTTCCGCTCCTCTTCACCGGTGAGTCTTTCTTCATCTTGATCGGCGGCGTCTCGTTGTTACGAGACTGTCTGTCCGCCCGCGACTTCGCCGGCGACCGCGCCGATCGAACGGCCGGCGGCTGCTCCCGGCTCGCGCTCTCGGTCATCTCGTTTCTCGGAGCCTTCTCTTTCTCCTTCTCGGCTCTCTCGTGTTTCATCGACTTCTTCGGTCTCTCGATAGAGCTGTGAGGGAAGCGGAGTGTCAAGTGAAAGATCGTGGAGATATACGAGGTATCTCAGATCAACATGGACCCTCACCAAATTTGTCCATGTTGATCCAGGACACTTCTGTATAATAGGGTAACAACAACGCACCTGTCTGTGGAGCTCTCGGACGACTGGCGTTTCCGCTTAGTCGAGGTCTTCTTCTTCTAAAAGAAAATCCGACATAGATCAATACTCCTTATTGACTCTTCTCAGCAAACATCGATCATGCACACGTATTCGTCAAGAGTTACGACGAAAAGAAAGACGAAAGAAGAAAACGGAAGGAAACGGTAGAAAGAAATTCGACGTATTCGTTTTACTCCGGATTCTGCTCCTCCCAGGATTTCTAATCAGTAGCTATCGGTGGTCGAGTGATAACGATGAGCAAAATAAGAAGCGCATTCAACAAAACATATCTTCGCACGTCTGAAAAGAGACTGCCACAATTCGAGGAGTGAACTTCTTCGGGAGAAGATTATCCTTATCACACCCAATCTCTCAGAATTAAGAGTAATATTATTATTAAGAAGAAATGTGCGAGATACTGGCGTATCTTTCTAATTTATCTATTCTGCGTTTTTAGGCGTGCGACGGTCTACTTTCAAGACGTTTACTGTGATTCCCCGGTCAAGAACAAGCAGTCTCCGAGACCCATCTTCCGTAATCAGCGATGTAATAGTGCTCGACACACAACGAGTGAGAGTAGAAATAGATAGAAAGAAAGAGAGAGACAGAGAAAGAGGCTCTTACACGACAAGTAAATTCGCAAATTCGAAAGTAGTATACACGACGAGAATGAACTGTACGAATTCACAAAATGAGAAATTACATTGAGTAGCGGCATATCTGATACTCACTCAGGGAATGTCTCCTGTCAAATGGCGCTGATAATTACAAACAATACTGAGATTTATACTTTGAAATAATGAACTGTCGGAAAAAAAAAAACGGGAAATCAGATGAAAAGTCGTTTAACGCAAGAAACACGACAAAAGCGAACCGGCGGGGAACAGGGGGGACGGGGGAGACCAGAGGGTATGGGGCAGATTGAGCATGCTATTTTCTCGTGACGGCAAACCCAAAAGAGATCGGAAGAATATAAACGGTACCCAAACGTCAATCGGCGAACAAATTGAGGAGAAACGAACACAAATGATAGACATAATAGAGATGTCATGCTCCTGCTTTCCACGTGCCGTAGTGTAAACATATGTATGTAGAAAGAAAGAGAGAGAGAGAGAGAGAGAGAGAGAGAGAGAGAGAGAGAGAGAGAGAGAGAGAGNTAGATAAATTTACGCCTGGCTTTCATTCGAAACACCATGTCCGTACCTCATGTTTGTCTTTTCCTTCAACTTTCAGTTTCTTCTTTCTCCGCTTCTTCTTTTTCTTCGACTCGGCCTCGGACGAGCTGCGTGAATGCATATTCGTTATTTCGTGTTCGAAATTTAGAATTAAGCGAATTTTAGAATTAAGATAATTGTAACATATTTTCACTGTTCGTATATATAATTCCGTGCAGCTAATGCGGCGTAAACTTTGCAAAAAAAGTCAGTATTTTGCCGACCAAATTTTAAAGTATGACATCATCTCAACTTTTCACCAAGTAATCATAATTCGTATCTCAAGCCGCGACTTATTTAACCTTTCCTCTCAATTCAGTGTTGAGAATGAATCATACTAATATGTTATTGTTAGCAGATAATTACTTGCTGTCGTCGGAATCCTCACTGGAGTCACTGTCGGAGGATGTGGCCTCGGTCTTCCGGTGCTTCCGCTCCTTCTTCTTCTTCTTGGACTTTTCTTTCTTCTTACCGGGCTTGGGGGATTCCGACCTATGGAAATCGACTAGATCGTTACAGGTACCACATACTCGCGAGCCGTGGCCGCGATCGTTTCTTTTTGTCAAACGATATTTATTATTATGTCTTATAAGTCTTGCAGTGGGCTTGCGTCTTCCTGTCGACAAGTGCATACCTCGTGCTGACAATATAAAGAAAGCTGTAGTACACAACGTATATCCGTGTGTGAAAAAAACCAATGCTCCGTTCTATCGATATATCAACGTATATATATATGTATAGATGTACGTACAATATGCACAAGCTACCTGCTTTCGAAAAAACATAGCCTCGGAATAGAGCCTTCTGCGGATACAGGGCGACCTGAGGAAAGGATCAAAGAATTTGGGCGCATATAGTATCCACAAAAAAAATGTCTTTTTTTCCTCTCTCTTTCACGCTCGCACCATATGTCTCCAGATCCTTTGACCCCTTCTTAGATCATCCTGTATGAAATATATATCTCTCGCGCGATTTTCTCTTTTCCCTTTGTAGCGAGATATTTCGGAACAGAATCCAGCTTTACGATACAAATGCGATACACTTATATATACCCGGCACATTTATACAGAATGTTTCTGAAATAACGGACGAGAATTCCGGAAGTCGTTTCACTCGCGTCGAGAAAAAAGAGAGAGAGAGAGAGAGAAGTTTATATCGGAACAACGATATGCGATTTTCTCTCTTTCGCTGGACGTTCCGTATTTCGTCTGGTTATTTCGGAGACACCCCGCGAGTGTGGAAAGTTTTTCGTAGAGAAAACGTACAGTACAACGATGCGTAGGTGAGATGTTCGCAATGTTGCATAATATGCGTTCGTTGCTATAGCTAAACAATCCGACTACGTATATATTCGCTTTGAAAGATCTGGTCTTTGCACTCACTTCCGGATTCGCCGAGAGTCCCTCGAGATTCGGAATCACACAATCGCGAAAAACCACATCTTTCAACCGCGCGTTTATAATACGGAAGACAAGTATGTATGTTTACGAGAAATATATATATATTTAAATATATATATATATATATACATAATATATTATGAGGAGTATTGATAAAATATGGGATTAGCATTACCTTGATAACCATCGATAGGGACGGACTTGTCAGAAAAAAATAGAGAGATGACATATTAACAACAAGCTTTATCGATAACAACAACAGAGAGATTAGAAATGTATGATCTTTTTTCGCTTTCTTTTCAATATTTTCTCGGATTTTCTGTGTTTACTCTGCATGTGTAAAACCCGCGGTGTGTATTTTTACTTCGCACCCCCGGCAAATGTTTGCCCATCACACTTTGCTAACATTGTGAAATTACCGAAACGATTAACGCGCGTGAAACGTGCGCCAGGGCCGTGATGAGAACAAGGGGGAGGAACGAATCTCTCGGATTCTTCTCTCATGAATCGAATTCATGAGAGCGAAATTAATTGGCAGTAAACTGAGTTGAAATTAATAGTAATCGGCACACTATCCTTCGTGCACTCCGATATTCTCTGGTATGTCGACCCAGATTTGATACAAAACAGAAATATTAAATTATATTACACTGTAAAACAATTACAATTACATTTTCACTGTAAAAAGAACGCTGAAAATAATGCGTAATGCTTATCGACGTTGGAGCTATATCAAGAAGTGAGAAAGTTAAGCTAGCTGCCACCATAAAAAAAACCCACTGAAAAAGTAGCTTATATATATGTATATATACATGTATATAACTTTAGTATAATTTATATATAACTTTAATAATTTATATATAACTTTCAATCCTTTGCACCCGATAATTTTTCCTTGGTAGAGATACCCCCCTAATTCGAAGCAATTTTTTGAAGAAAAATCTCATTTATGTATGACTTAAATAGATACAAGCGATAAAAATTGACTACATATTTAAATTGATAATTTATGTTTGAGTTGAATTTACACACACGTACGAGTACTAAGTAAACAACATACATACATCAAGAAAAACAAATGTTATCTCTTGTACTTCTTTTATTTAATATTTAGTGTATCTCAAGAAATACCTAATACGCATACATCGTTTTCGCGAGAACACCGCGTGACTGTGCGATTTTCTAACGTTATTTGTCACCGAGGTACTTAGTAATTTTGATAAGAAATTTTCCCAAAAATTCCCGACAACCAACATTGTTGCGATCGCATGTCGGGATATAAGAAATGATAGTGAAGCAGCGGAGTCTGTCGGACTTTATAAAAACACTTTCGCCGGTGCCGCTACGGAACTTCTTTCGGGTGTGTAAAGGGGTTTAATTATATGTAGAGTACACTTATTTTCTAGTTACGGCTCTGGTTCATTCAAGAGAACGACGACGCGCGGCAAACATTTGCCCACGGAGTAGGAAACATCTAATCGCGCGAAAGACAGATAATACCGCCCGCGAGAGATAGACACCGCGTGAGATAGGAATATCGTTCTATGATCTGACGTGTCCGACGCGCGACGTTAAGACTTTCTCTCGAGCGTGTCATTTTTTTGTTCTTTTGCAAATTAATCGCGACGACCACACTTACCTACTGCGCCTACTGGGTAGGCACTCAGTCCTCCTCAGTTCTGTTTGAAACAGAGAAAGGTGTACGGGATATGAGACAGTAGGTGAGTCATGAGTCAGTTTTTTTTCTGTAAATCCGGCAAGAGAGCAACGCTAACGCGCTATACATAAGTAAAAAAAAGCAAAAGAGAAAGAGAGAAAGAGAGAGAAAGATAGAGAGAGACAGACGAACGAGCGATCAGAAACGAACAATTAATCGATTAACCGGCTAGGAAAAGACAGGAGACTTTCTACTTCGGAGGTTCTCTTCTATAATCGTATCTTTCTTTTCTCATAGGGTCCGTGTGAGGCTGTTGTGTGATAAAAGGGCCGGGTGTGCGCTCTTGGAGCCTCGATTCGCATAAGCCGCGCGGACAAGACAGGAGAGAAGAGTACTCGAGAGAAATAAAGAGCGTAGAGAAAGAAAAAGAGATAGAGAGATAGGTAGAAAGTGAGAGAAGAAGAGAAAGAAAGAAAGAAAGAAAAAGAAAGAGAGAGAGAGAGAGAGAGAGAGAGAGAGAGAGCGAGGGATATCGAATCCAGCCTCCATGGACCCGTGCGCGCACCGTTTACGTTGTGCTGTACCTTTCCCGCTTGTGCTTCTTGGCCTTTTTCTTCTTGGCGCTGGCGCTACCGGACCGCTTGCGTTTCTTCTTCTCGGCGCCAGATGCGACGGCAGAGGCGGCGCCGGCGACGGTGGTGGCCGCGTCCGTCGACGACGGCGCGGCGGCCGGACTCGGCGTCCGCACCAGCTCGTAGACCTTGCTGGCAGCGGCGGCGGCGCGTGCCTCCGCCTCGCGCGCGTGCCGCTCCGGGTCTAGGCTGCTACCCTCCACGAAGAACTCGGATATGCCGAAGGCCTCGCGCAGCTTCGCGTTCTTCTCCTGCTGCGCTTCGGCGATCTGGTGCGTCTCCCGGACGCTGGAAGAAAGAACACGGAGAACGTCGTTAGGTGGTTTTTCACTCGATTCGATGTGTGATTCGAAGTGGGAAAAGGAATGTCGACGATTTTGAGGATGGTCGAGCGCGAAGTCGCTTCTGTACAGACACAGATGTCGGGGAAAGTGTGGGCTTTCGCCCAGTGGGATGGCTGATTTGTAATTTCAAGGCAATGTTTCTTACGCCTTAAATATTTATTAAAATTATCATTTTTTTGTTTTCTTTTTTAATCATCACAGAGAGGTTTCTTGTCATCTACGACAAAACAAAACGGTATTTTAGTTTATACTCCAGACGCGGAACAAATTATCGTGAGTTACTTAAAGAACCGCAGGATTCTGGCAGAAGAGAAATTAAAGTTTGAGGAGTTATGTAAAAAGTTGTAAATTAATGCGAATTTGAATTGTTTGTTATGTATGCCTATTATCGTTTCAAGTTCATGTTCAGGTGCTTCGCAGTCTATGAGAAGATTCGTGCAGCATGTGAGGACGAAATTCGGGACGATCTCAGATATAATCAAATATCGGACTATGAATATCGCTCCAAGCCGCGGGCTAGTTATGTGCGGGCTCGGTCGCACGTGAAATCCTCCCAGAGATTACCATCCCTTGCCCCTTTCTCCCTTGGCAGTTCTCATCGATCGCGAGCCCTATTTAACGCTATCGGTGTCTCGCGGCTAAACATGCCACGCTTGATGACCGATGGTGCACAATCGCGCATTGTATCCCACATGGAAATCGCGCGGACCGCCGAGCGAGAGGGGAAATCGATCTGTGACTGTGTCGCCTCTCAGTCTTCCTCAATCTCGCCACTCTCCTTATTTTCAAGGCATTTTTATCAGCACTGCTATCTACTTACTTTTAGATGAACCATCGAGACTCGTGACGATCAATTACTACGACACACCCTCGGTTTACGATCGCAGAATCGTTATCTCAAACATTGGTGCGCTCCGTCGTTTTCAACCGTCATAACAGATACTATTTTCACAGAAAAGTCATCGAGGCCCCCCCTGATCCTAATTATGACACTGGTTCACCATAAAAAAAAAAAAAAAATTGCCATACAGCGAGGAACGATCTCGAATGGAAGAGACAAGTGCTCGGAGAGAAACGATCGAGATTGTTGGCATACCGCGTCGAGATCTTCACCGTCATTGTCGTCGTCGGGTCGGTCTGCAGTTTTGGACGCGAGGCACTCCGCGATAACACCTGTACAGCAGTAGCAGCAGCACGAGTTCAACAACGGCGTCGCCCTCGAGCCGCGCTTTGGCGTCGCGGCGTTAATGACATAACACACGGGGACCGACTACACCACGACAACGACGGAGCGAAGCAAGGATAGGAATCGCGCGGCACGCGAAGCAGCCCCTCTCTCCGTCTTTTTCTCTCTCTCTCTCTCTCTCTCTCTCTCTCTCTAGCTCGCTCGGTCTCTCTCTACTTTTCCTGCGGGTGAAAAGCGAACGGCGAAGAGCTGGGGTTGAGCCGAGCGAGCGGCGAACCACCCCTGCGCGCCTGCCGGAACACGCCGGATCAATACAATCCAGCTGTTCTCCTTTCTGGCATCCCCTTTGCGCGTTAGAGCAGAACCGCCGCCAACCCGGCAGCGGTGGCGGCAGGTCGCGAGCGCAATCGGAAAAGCTCGTTTCTGAGACGACGAAGAGTAACTTTTCCTTTCGAGTTATCTTGCGCCAGCAGGGTTATTTATGTCTCGGCAAATCATACGCAGCGTTGCAACGGATACATTTCCGGCAGTAACTGGGCGCTGAAAGGGAAATGCAAATAGATGCAAGGTTTGAGGTAAATAACTGGATATAGATACACATAGTATGAAAATGCATCGAGATGTACTTCGTGAAGTATATATTCTCCATAGTACATGTATCTATATCTAATTATTTACCTTTAATTCATATCTGTATCTGTATTATCTCACTTACATTTCCCTTTCAGTATTTGTATCTAGTTACTTCAAAACATTTATCTGTTACAACACTGATCATTCGATACTTTGACAAGTCGCGCGGAAACATATCACGGTCGTGACGTTCAACTTAAATATCCGACTGGCGGGAGAACAAGGTCGGAATTTCCGCGGGAAACATCAGACGTTCCCATTTGCGCCGAAAACAATCGGTAGACATTTATAGGCCCGGAGAAAGATTATTCATTGAATTATATTCGTGTGTTTTTTAACACATTCTTCGTGTTAAAGTAACACAAAATTTCAGTGGGCCGTTTTTAACACAAAATTTCTTTCAACAAAAAATTTGTGTAGTTTCCTATAGTCCCTGTCCTATAGATATATTTTTGTTTTCTAACTAAAGATTAAGGCTACAATGGGATTAGCGCGGGAGATTCACCTGACGACGGAGCGCACGTTGCTTCGCCGTCCGGCGAGCAGGTGTAGCTGAATACGCTGGCAGCAACAACAATGCTGGCGCATCTGCAGCTGTTGCTGCGCTCGTTGCTGCCTCTTGCAGTTGGCCGCTGCGTGTAACTTGCGTTTGCGCGACCGCTTCAGCATCTTCTGCCGGTCCAGCAGGAAGTTGCCGCGCCACAGAGTCTCGAAGAAGGCCCGGCCGTCGGCCGGACCTCGTCCGCGCGCGGGTTTCGCCGCTGACACCGTCGTAGACATCGTCATTCCTCGAGAACGACGACTATCAGGAAGCGCCGGTTCTCCCTGTTGGCGAATCTTCTTTGGGATAACCGTTGGTTCTTTCCGAGATTCCTTTTCTCGAGTTTCGGTCTTTTAGAAATTCTACCAGGTCTAGTCGTCCTAATTTTACCGTGTAAAGTGCTCTATAAAGTGTAGAATGGCCTTGAGTTCAGATGTCTCGAATTTTACAAATCTTCTTTACATATGTCTCGTATCTCTCGAAAGTTCTCGCTCTTAAAATTCCTCCTGGTAATAAAGTGTCATGTGATTCAATCGTCAGTTTTTCTCTATCGTCTTTCATTACAGACTGATTACGGGCAATCCGTGTCACAACTTTTCCTCGGGTTTCAGAAGCGAGTCTCGCGAAATCTTCACTCGTGATACCTCAAGTATCCTACGAAAATTGTCTTCTTATAATTACGGAGATAAATATAGAATTCATTATAAATGTGTGACTTTCCACAGCGGCACGTGCTGATCGTCACTGCGATTCACCGTGATTCGGCTTCGGCGAGAACTTAATAGCAGGAAGGACTGCACCTTGTCGTTGCAATTTTATTCGAATTCGTCCATTAGATTTCAAGATCGAGGATGGTGGATCTCGTGGCCGATTTGTTCTACCGACCGAAATAAGGAAAATCCGATGTGATCCGATAAATAATCTACGACCAAGTAATTAGTATGCTAATTAAGAACTTAAGGAGCTCCCGTCGGCCGGCCGACGTCGCGCAAAGAGCTTTCTCACACTTAATCCCACCGCGAACAGAGACAGGGATGGCAAGGGTTAGATCGTACATAGACATGGAAACGTAATAGTCCTCTCTCTCCCTCTTCGGTCGCGCCTTTTGTATCCGCTATTCCGGCTTTCCTAGCCCGAACAATCGTCCAGCGAGGATGACAATGGCAGTTCCGACTCTCGCTTTCTTTTCGTCTCTCAAGCGACCCTCGTCATCTCGTATCCAAATGTTGCTTGTCGTTCTTTACGCCTGCATTCTCCTTCTCGTTTCTTATCCCCTCATCGCGTTCTCGTCTATCGCTTATTATTATTCTTATAATTCTTTATCGTCATCGAGGGAATAACAATATATTGTGTATATGTATGATTATGTGTGAGAGGAATAATAACGAACGATATTATGTGTTACCTATATGTAATCTTACGATGAGATTATTATACTTCGACGCTTCAGGTCGTCTTGAACCTTTCTTCCTTATTTTTCGATACGATCATGGAAGAATATATAGGAATATTATATATATATATATATATCGTGTATATCGGCGAAGTTGCTGTATATTATACACTCTAACGCAGGAGTTAGTTCAGGAAGACTTCAGATCAGGCACACTATTATTGTCGCTCCCCGCTCGTGGAAGACACTTTTCTCAGCGACGTAAAATCGATTTGTCGTCGTCGACGACTTGGAGACACATGGATTTTGTAGAAAAAGAATCTCTCTTCTCTCTCTCTCGTCGTTCCTCGGATCTCTTCTTAAACGTGGATTCTCTCCGAGAGAGATATCTTTTACGAGACGGAACTTACGCTCGCGAAAGGAAGACGCGTGTGCGATACCTTCATCATGCTATCGTCATCAAATGATCGATTCTTCTTTCTTACTAAAACATTCTTTATATCACACTTGCTAACTGTTCGCGCGTTTCTTCCGGCAGTCTTCTCTCTCGCTCACGAATTTAATTTTTTTCTTCGTCTTCTTCGCTCCTCAATATCTTCCGTATGTCTTGACAACGAGCACCTTGCGTCGTCTTGCTCCCGTGTAACGTGACGTTAAAACTCTAGACTTAAATCTCTACAGCCCGTTATGCTTTAACTTAGTGCTTAGGGACGATCTAACGTGGAGTAAGTAGCAGCAGCTGCCACGGATTAAACGCTAATGGAAGACTTTTGTGATTTGCCCGGAGGATCGAAGTGTCGCGGCGTCACATGGTTGCTCGACCCGATTACGGGGCCCTGTGGTCCTGTTAGTCACCCCCTAACGATTCCCGATGCAGCCGTCGACGGCACACGACGACGCGTCCGGCGTCGTCACGCCGGTCCATCCTCGCACTGAACCGGAAAAGTCGGCCGAGAGAGATGCTGCGCTCCCTCCCACCTTTCTCACTGCCTCTTCTCCCTCGGTCCATACCAAACGCACCCTTACGGTTCTCCCCCTGACTGGCTGGCGCCGGCGCCATGGGGTACGTCGATATCGCGAATATATTACGACCCTAAGCCTCCACTCCCTTTTGACGCTGGCGCAGAATGAGACGCGCACTCGCCCTCGCGATATTAAGTTGCGATTCTTGAATTTCTCCTGAGCTTCCGGACTCTTCATTTTCCCTCTCGCCCGCGGTAAAGCGCGATTCGATTTTTTTTACGTTAATAACGTTGTATTAAAAAAGTATTCTCAAGATCGAGATCTTTTCAAAAAGTCGAAAACTTGATCATATATCTCTCATCATTCGAGGATAATTTTCTTTCTGTTCTTTTCTCACTTCTTTGTCCTCTCTTCTCGTCTAATTGATATTTTTATTCATTCTTGTATTATGTATAAAACATATTAGATATTATTAAATTGATGTTATAAATTTTTTAAGTATCTCGAGAATACATATGTATTTTATAAACTGTATTAATTCTTTTAGAATAGTTTTTCAACATAAAACCAAGATTTTCCACGGTATATTGCTTTTACGAAAGCTCGATATTGGTGCAAGATCAAATAAAAGCATCAGGTGGAGAGATCCCATATAGTTCAGACATTATATATAAACGTCGTTTCATATAACATCCACCGTCGGGATTATCCCGCATTTGGCTGACGGATGTCAATAGAAAGAAGGAAGCTCCTCTTTCAAGACTTCGAGCGCTTCTTTGAAAAGGAAGCGTTATTACATTTCATATAAACTACAGATTTTCTCAGTAAAATTGACAACAAAGTTGCAATCTCATAA